TAATGTAATGATAGGTTAACACAATGTAATTGTTGTTTAATTAAATGTCATGAACAGTAAACATAACGAAATGCAAGAATGTGTAAATGTCTTAAAGTGTTGACATAATGTAAAGGAAGGTTTACACGATGCAATAGTAGTGTGGGATAATATCATAAAGAATCGACACAATATAATGGAAGGTTGACACAATGCAGTAGTAGTGTGGGTTAATGTCATAAAGAGTTGACATAATATAAAGGAAGGTTGACACAACGCAATAGTAGTGTGAGTAAATGTCATAAAGAGTTGACATAATGTAATGGAAGGTTGACACAATAAAATAATAGTGGGAGTAAATGTCATAAAGAGTTGACATAATGTAAAGGAAAGTTCACACAATGCTATAGTAGTATGAGTTAATATCATGTAGAGTTGACATAATGTAATAGAAGGTTAACACAGTGTAATAGTTGTGTGAGTAACTGTCATATGGAGTTGACATAATGTAATTGAAGGTTGACGCAGTGCAATTGTTGTGTTCTGCTATAAGGCAGTGACGGCGTTCCATAAGGAAAGTTTCCGCACCTGCCCTGGTGACTGGCCCTTATTTTAAGCAAGACTCGGAAGACGGCAAACAAATATTATTTTTAAAAGTAATGGGAATCGAAATTCGAAAAATAGGCCTATTTATATCCCAAACTAAGCAAGTAATATCAAAGTGTAATCTATTGGCTATGAATAACATTTTACCTTGTATTTGCTTCCTTAAATAGTTAGATAAGTACGTGGTTTTTTCCTTTTCTACTAATTTCAAAAGGTTTTTTTTTTTGCTGAATATTTTACGCTCTTTGGGAGAAGTCGGAAGTCTAGCTTCATTTCAAGCTTTGTATTTCTTATATATTCTTTACTTGATACTACTGCAATATTTATTATGGTTGAATAACACTTTTTTTTATTAAAGTTAAGCGCTAATTTAAAGATGTAACAGCAAAGAACGATTTGGGTTAAGAAACCTGAAATATATCAGAGTCTGCTGACTACACTTGTAGCATTTTTTCTTTCTCGAGTTTTATCGTACCTTTTCAGTAATACATTATATAATGATAATTGTTGCATATACTGTACTTAGGAATGCTCACGTAAGAGGCAATCAGATTTTAGAACGCAGTTCGCAATTCGCAATTCAAAAGTGAACTGCATTCTAGAACGCAGTTCGCAATTCAAAATTTTAACATAAGTTATGGAGTCTGAAATTTTGAGGGTGAGGTACTAGGGACCCGTAAGAACATCAACTTCAATATGTAGAGAAATACAGATCATAGTAGCATTTATTGTTTTATTAAACAATAAAAAAAGTAGTGGTTAAAAGAACCAACTTGAAAAATAAATGTATTTAATCACCGGTATACAATAAGAGAAAAAAATCTCAGATTTTCCTTAAATGTTTAATGTCTCGTCTGCTTTTAAAAATGGTTAACATGCAATGCCTTTTTCTGCTTTTTAAAGCGGTTAAGTTTTGGTTGCGAACGTAGAACAGTGTCCATGCATACGGTGGCTTTGGCATTCCATGAAGTATGTGTACATGTCTGTACATGTTTGTAGCTTACTTTTTGGTTTTTTGGTTTAAAAAAGTCATATTGCGTCAAAAAACCAATCGATTGATTGCCTTACAATTACGGATGATAGTTGTATAGAGTTAATCTTTAATATATTTTCTGGGATCAGTCGATATTTTAGAGTGACATATTGCATGCTGACAAGCAATTTGATTCATTACAAAAGAGAATTTCACACAGATGCAAGAGCTGGTCCCATGAAACTTATTTCATATAACTATTGTTTTATTTCCTGAAAGATAGCACAGGAAATGAATATTTTAAACTTAATGGTACATTGTTGTATGTTTGAAATGTAATTGTGTAAATGGGCATCATCAAAGAGTTTGCCATTCAGATTTTTTGCAGTAATTTCTTTATTTTCTTTTATACCCTTTAGCTTTTGGGGATAAATAAACGTTGGGGAGACCAGTATTCATTCATTTTTTTTTAAATATTGAAAGCTGTTTATATTTTATTGTCTTTAAATTACTCTTCCGACAAGCTTTTTAAATTGTCTTAAATGTCACGAGGGCTGTCGTAATTAATCGTTCTTTGTTATTTGAATGAAATTAAAACACCCCCACTTGTGTGTTTACTGCTGAGATAACTTGTAATTTAAATAAATTATTCAAATTTGGCACACTTTGATTCTGTGTATTGTGAAGCAAAATCGGAAGTATAAAAATGAGTTAGTGAGCACAATTTTGAGTTAAAAGGCATTTAAGTCATAGGAATATAAGAAATTTTCATATGATTCTTCACAGACAATGAATGATTTTTTTTTTTATTACTTATGAAACATAACTTTTCTTATAATTTTTAAAGACCATCAAATCCATAAAAAAGAAATTAAAATGCTTACGGAGGTTAATGGGGGAATGAGTTCCTTTAAAATCGCTGCATTAAACAAACCTTGAACCACCCATTTAATTAATTTTAAATGTTTAAACGTTTTTTAACTGATCACATTTAAAGCTTTTTTTGAGATTCGTGAACTTCAGATTTATAATGTAATTGTAAATCGTGTAGTGTAAACGCAAATTTTTTACTTTTCCTAGAGTAAGAAAACAATAATTAAAGGGAAAAAACAACAACGGTAAATTTCCTTATTTATATATAATTTCAGGTCGTACAGACGATGGTATTAGACAGAAAAATGGAAAGTACAGAGGTAACAAGTTACCATGTCACGCAACCAACGGGTTTGTTCTCGCTACTCAACACTAATGGCATAACGCAAGATCTTACCACTATCATGGCGGACGATCGTACTCGAATGGATAATCCTTGTGATTCTTTCAACAAAACCGGATGTCGTCAGGAAGGAATGGGAATAAGTCTCTCTACTCCAATTATCATGTTTACCACTGGAATTCTGGGAAATATTCTAGCACTTGTAGTGTTGTATACGTCACGCAAAGAGGCCAAAAGGACAGTATTTTACACATTACTGGCCGGATTGGCTTGGACAGATTTGATTGGCCAGCTAATGACGTCACCGATCGCAATTGTTGTGTACGCAAACAATTTAAAATGGGTAGGAGGGAAACCTCTTTGTCGTTACCATGCTTTTGCTATGATCCTTTTTGGGGGCTTGACTCCCCTTCTTGTGTGTGCTATGTCAGTAGAACGTTTACTTGCTCTACGGTTTGCTTATTTCCATGCAAGAGTTGCCACGAAGAAAAAGGCTTTTATAGCTATCGCAGCTTGTTGGATTATTGTGATGTTTTTCTGTTCTTGGCCATTTGTTGGATTAGGAAGTTATGAAATTCAATTTCCTGGATCTTGGTGTTTTTTGAACTTTCATAAAGAAAGTGTGAGTGACATCATATATGCATCAATATTTGCATCAACCAATATTGTGATAATTTTATTGAACCTCGGATGTAATATCGCTGTTGTTGTGACATTGCTACAAATGAGACGAAAAAGAGTGGCGAACAATTCACCGTACTGTCACAGGAGACACAACACGAATCAGAGTAAAACGAAGTCAATGAAGAGAGAAGCAGAAACCCAGATGGTCATTTTTCTGTGTGCTATCACTCTTGTCTTCACAACTTGTTGGTTGCCAATCAATGTAAGTTCACAAAATTAAGTTGTCAAACCATATATTTTTTAAAAGGTATTGTTATATTTAAGAAAAAAACTTTTCTATATGAATTTTTACTTAAGAAGTTTAACATTGTTTAACATTTTCGTTGTGGTCATATAAAAAAAAACTAGAGGTACTGTGAACTCTGAGCTCACAAAATGATACTCCCGTCTCCCATATGATTATAGTGGCAAAATCCATGTTTTGCTTTGGGAGACCCGAAATAAGTGTCAGATCAAAATGTTAAATAGGAGGTCACATGGTATTATTTAACGAAGAATCTGTGAAAGTTATAAGTATTCAGTGGTATAGGAGGAGTTGCGGATAAGTGATGGGCATAGAAGGAATGACACTGTTGATGTTTTTTTTTATTGGAAACACGAAATAGGTGTCTGATCGAAAAGTAAAATAGGACATGCGGATAAGAGAAGAGTACCTTTCAATATTATAGAAAGAATGGCACTGTCAATATTTTTCTATGGGAAACACGAAATATGTTTCCGATAAAAAGTAAAACAGGACATGTACGATGGCAATCTGCGAAAGTAGGAGGTTATATAGTGATCGGGATGTCCATCTTTCCGTCTTTCCGTCCGTCTGTATCCATCTCTTATCCGCAAATCCTCGTATACGACTGAATAAAACTTAATGAGACTTTCATAGAATCTTTGTTACAAAGCTCCATTGTGCACCTCCTACTTTACTTTTTTATCCGACATATATTTTGGATTTCCCAAAGAAAAACACTGCAATTCTTTCTATAATATTGAAGGGTACCCATCTCTTATCGGCAACTTCACAGATTCTTTATAATGCCATTGTAATCTCCTAATTCACTTTTTTTTATCTACATTTATTTCGGGTTAAGATTCAGTTTCTTCCCAGAGCTGGATTTTGCCAGTATATTCATATGGGAGGCGGGAGGGGTATTATTTAGTGAGCTCAGTACTCACAGTACCTCTAGTTGTGATGGAAATAATTTACAACGGACTTTTTCAAAAGGAAAGAAAGGTTTTTTTTAAAGATTTAAATAACTCGTGCTTGTAACTCGTTTTAACGAGGTACTTAATCCGTTTTAAAAAGATAATCATCTCGTGTAACGAGATAACTAACTCGTAAAAATGGGAAAACTGTCTCGTTATAAAGTAATGCTACATTTTTTAAAAATAGAAACTTATTTCTTTAATAAGTTTATAAAGAAAGTAACGTGTAAAAACTATTTTTAATCACTCAAAAATGTGTTTATCCAGCTTTTGTTAATATACAAAACCACGGATTTCGTATTCTCTCGTTTGTTTGTATGCATATTGTTTAACGTCCCTCTCGAGAAAGTTAACTCATTTGGAGACATCACCACTTGCGAATGGAGAGCTGCAACTTTTGACCTATGCTCGACACTGTGTTACAGCCATGGAGCAGTTAGGGATCTTTTTTCGCAGCACGTACTGCGACACGGGACCTCGGTTTATTACCATTACAGGCTTAGTTTGGACTTTCAGTATATATAAGGCGTGGCATTCTCGATGTTACCTAATTAGCTTCTGAAATTTACACAGCTTCCCATCACTGTTGAAATATACATGTGATAGAGATGCGGTCGAATGTAGTAAATAGCCAATTAAAAGTTCTCTCACGACACAGAGGTGGGGCATAAGTCGTCTCATCGTTATCAAAAACAATTTAAAGTTCCTGATGTTATTAATTTAATGAGAATCTACTAGTATTTGCTTTTACGTAGCGCCGAGAAAGTCACACCCTACTGAAAGTCCAAAGATAGGGTAAAAACACTCATATACGGTCTCATCCGAAGAACCGGCCTCGAAATTCTGGAAAATCATTCTTCACTAATGAATTATATGAATAAAAAAAAACTTTGGTCAAAATAGTTATTGCATTATTATATTCGGTATCTGTCAAAGGAAATCCCAACTAGTGCTAATTGTAACGGGGACCGTTACAGATGTTCCCCAAACGCTCCCAAACTCCCTTTTGGTGCCATATTCCCTGTAAGCTTCATTAAATGGGACAAAATCTATGCATTTGAGACTTTAACAATGCCAAGTTCATTCAAATTTTAGCATTGCACGCGTGCACATGTGAATGCATGTGCGTAATGACCATATCATCTTGTCTACACAATCTATATATTTTTTATATACTAAATATCAAAGTATTAATCCAAAAGTATCAAAAAATACGTTCATTCAAGTGTATTTTTGATTTAACTCATTTCACGTGCACGAACGTGCATACATGAGCATGGTGAACATACCTTCTTGTAGGAGTCCATTACATCTATCTATGTTGTAAATCCCATCCCATTTGGTTGAAAACCAAGGGAGTTATAGCTGTTTAAAGTTTCAGCCAATCTGATTGAAGTGCACGAACACGCATGTGCATGCATGTGCATGGTGACCATACCTTCTTTTAGAAATCCATTATATCTATCTATGTTCCAAATCCCACCCGATTTGGTTGAAAACCAAGGGAGTTATAGCTATTTAAAGTTTAAGCCAATCAGATTGCAGCGCACGTGCATGCACATGTTTTCATGATAATTGCTATATATTATGTTGTAGAAAATTCTAATACTTGGCTATGTTCAAAATTTCAAAGGATTTTGTCCAAAAACAAGAAAGATATTGAGACTTTAGTTTCAGCCAATCAGAGCGAAGCGCATGTGCATGCGCGTGAGATCTTGCTATTTTGACCATGTCATATTGTCTATGGTACTAATGTATCCTTATATTATGAGTTTCAAAGCATTTCATCAAAAATGTAAAAAGTTACGCCTATATTAATTAAATCGGTCATTTCACGTGTTGCACGTGCACGCTCTTGCAACCACGTGCGCGCAAAATGACCTTGATTCCGCAAATCTACATAACATGTCTACTGACCCTAAAAAGGTTTTACCTACATCGGACGAACAGTTTACAAGATCATTCCCGGACAAAAAAGTACCCAGGAAGAAGAAGAAAAATAATAATAATAAAAAACAGAGTAAAAACAATATGTTCCCCAACTTCGTTTGGGGAACATAATTAACGCAGAGGCTGCTTTTAATTCAATGTCATAAAAAATCGAATCTCGATCGTGAAACTTATTAATAGTATTCAAGATAATCTTGACTAATTTTGGTTTTATCAATTTTTCATAACTATCACCTTAATCTAGAAGATCTTTTCTTTGACTAGCCACATGTCTGGTAGCAAACAGGAGTTTTGCCTACGTCTGGTAATAAAATCACTGCTTTTAGATGCAGATATCTTGAAATCTTCGATGCTCATTACACTTTGTACACTTATACGATCATAATGCAACAGACAAGTGCAAAATGAAAAGGATAAAATTCTTCAGTTTAATGAGTACACAACATTCTTATGAGCAAAACATTAAAGGAGATATGCATGTAAAAAAAATAAAACAACAAAAATTAAAAAAAAAACTCATCTGTTCTTTACATAACCTGTAAATATTGTTTAGCATCTCATAGAAAATTTTCCGCTGTCATGGGAATTTATGAACGAATTAATTGAATTCTAAAAGTATGTTATTTTTTTTATTTCAGATAAACATCATTATGAATCAGATCACAGGTGTAACAAATAGGAAAGCAGATCTCCTGGGTGTTCGATTTGCAGGAATAAATCAAATTCTTGATCCCTGGTTGTATGTTCTGTTGCGGAAAGCGTTGATCTTGAAGCTAGTGAAATATCTTCACCAGAAGCTCTGGAGCCGCTCTAAAATCGAGGGAACTGGTAGACAAATCTTACACTCTTACGAAAATGTTCCAGTTGATAGGGAACATATCTCACTCGGTGCGCTCGACGATCTTCAAATCAAAGTTTTGTGTGTGAGCAATGACAAGCGTCCATCTAACCAAGATTGTGAGAAAGAAATGGAAAGTAGTGACGAAAGTATGTCAAGTGTGTCAAATCTCATTTCAGCAAACCAACATATAGATATGGGATATCATTCCAATTCATCTGAACTGCGGAAAACTGTAACTCTTAACGACAACACAATGAACCAACATTATAGTGACAATCGGCTCAGTCAATCTACAAAAGATAGTCCTAGGAAAAGAGTCAAGTTAAAACGCATCCATAGTTCTCCTGCTTTTAATTCTGCAAAGTGTTCAAAACCTCATAAAAAATATGAAAAACAAAGTAGCTCACCTAATGACGATAGTGTAATCACGATATGAATTACAATTTGCAAACTACCATTCAAGTGGGTAACTGAATTGTTTCAATCAATTCAACATTTTCTTGAAAAAAGTATGTATTTTCTAAAATGGACGCTCATAAAATATGCACATGGGTCCATGTATAAAAATAAGACAACTGTGATCAAATGAAGTGTATTTTAGCATTTTTGTTTAATTTGTTTCAAGTAACATGCTCTTCAGCGAATGGATTTTGTTGTACTTTTATTTTTTAAAAGTTTTCAAATAAAATAAATCCAGATTTCAAAGATAGTTTAATTTACAAGTAGGTATTTTACTACATCAAGGCGTATCTATTGAAAAAGAAAAACTAGTTATGAATGCCTGGACTTCAAAACCTATGACATCTGTAGAGTTGGGGATTGCTAAAGGGCCAGACAAATAAAGCTTCAACTTTCCTATCGTCAGCTTCTTTTGCTTAAGTAACAATATATTATAATCATCCGCATATTGAGTTTTTGGCTCAAGATGATTCGATACTAAACGACTTTCGCAAATTCTATGGTTGATACAAAGACCTTGTCAGCAATTACCTTTTTTTAAAGTCGAATGTTAACTGCCGTTTTTGAAATATTCAAGCGCTGAATGGTCTAGTTATTTCCGTATTTCTGATCATGACAAGGAGCTGGTGTGACTGGTCAACAGGGGATGCTTAGTTTTCCATGACATCTGATCCCATCTCTGTTGTTTTTGTTGTCAGTGTTTGCTATACTTCCCATTTGAATTAATTCAATGGACTTTAGAGCTTGATTACGTTTCGTGTTCTTTATATTTTTATTACGGTACCTTAGTCTATTTACATTCTGATGTATGTCCTCTTTAAGTACTGTAAAACCACATATTTTTGGGGTGTCAAATTTTCGTGGTTTGGGGAAAAAGCTCGTGGTTCATTGGGATTTGATGTCGTGGATGGAAAACTTTTTAGTACTTATGCATGTAAAATTTAACATTTCGCGTAGGACATAAATTCGTATACCTCGAAAACAACGAAAATTAACCCCCACACGAAAATTTGTGATTTCACAGTAATTTGCAGTCCCATTATCTTTAACACATGTAGCAATACTTTCTACACATTTAGAATTAAATTTAGTTTCTTCAATTTATTTTCAAACATCTCACCAAAATATTACATTTTATCAGAAAATGACAAAATTTAATCAACACAGTGAAAACTGTCATTAATTTCATCCATAAAAATTAAGTTTGAGCATAAATTATCAGGTTTTCAGAAGAATATAGAGCCTAACTAGAATATGGTTTTGCGCTGCTTCATTTGAGGATCACTTTCCTAGAATTATTCCAGACATTATTGAATAGTCGTTCATCGGATACGATATGCTTTGTTAATCGTAATTTACTCAATAGTTAATCACGAAAGCCGAGATAGACCTTTTTTATGAGTGCCTCATATAAAAACAGAAAGTAAGATGAGCCATATGGATAACACGAAAAGCTAATTCACAACCTGAAATTTTATTGGATTTTAATCTTATGGTATAAAACATACTCACTTTAGTATAATTTGATTTTGGTGTAGGTCATTATAGGGATTAGTTTAATCATTCATCTTCATATATTTAGATGACAAATAACCATGTTGCAACCATTTCCCATAAAATGTGTCAATTATGAAGAAAAAAAAGTCAGTAATCAAGCAAAGACATAAGCTATTTTCATTGAATCATGAAGCGTTTTTCAGAGTGATGGCGAATACGGATGTGAACACGACCAGAAAAAATAAATAACAAACACGTAAAAGCTACAAATCAATAACATCAAACGACTGCCATTGTCACAGAATGATGCCAATGAACTCGGTCCCTAAAGTCCACGGGGATGTGTTCTTTGATATGGGAAAATTACACAACAAGCGCACCAAATCAACGTATAAAATTTAGATAAAACCTTTCTTTTGCATAAGACAAAACATGGAAACATTCACAAAATACGAAATTCTCATTTTTAAACATTTAAAAGCACACAGTTAAAACCATACAGTGATGGTGGGACAAGATTCCCTGTCATATCAAAGGAAAGGTTAACTAGTCTATATGATGATTTCTTGTCGTCTCATTTATGGTTTTTGTTTACATCAGGTCCACATAATGCAAATATGTACAATTTATAAACAAACTTATTTTCCTCTGGGAAATACATGTCATGAGATCATGATAATCATTCTATTATTGTAAACAAAATCACGCGAAATTTCAGTCAAGGAAATTTGATTGTATGTAATCCTCACTTTGATAAATTTGTATTGTTCACAAATAAGTCAATTTTTAGTAACCTTGGACTCTGTCAAATTACAAAAACAAAGAATATTGCACATCTCAGTATACCGATAAAACGCAGAAAGAAATAAAATGTCCAAAGAATTTCACAGAAATTGATGGTTTTTAGTACCCAATTCAAATCCCTTTAATGAAATTGAATATTAAATAACCAGATAAACTGTTATCCCATATTAGTCTACATGTACCAAGTCTGATTGAAAAACAAACCGTAATTGGAAAAGCTTGTTGTTGTACTTTTATAAATGACATCCTTGGGAAAGAGGAAGCACCTTCTCCTGTGTTTGTAGAGGCTGCCCCTGGACTTGCGTTGTCTACTGCGGCCGTATAAATGCCTCTTGATGTTGTTGTTGTTGTCTTATTACTCTTTCTTCTAATCCCTCTTCTGTTTTCACCTTTTATTAAGTCTTTTTGAAATTATCAGTTTCAAGGCCTGTTCTGACTGCTGCAAATGCTTCCAAACTATTCGTATCAACGCCGAAAGCATTTGTCACGTCTAAGAAGTGGGGATGTGAACGATCTACCTTTCACTGTCTGCCTAATGTTCTCGATATCCTAGGACATGCGTTCTTCATCTATGCTATGCACTTGATTTATAACAAGAGTATCTTGACAGAGGAGGATGTCCATAAAATGTATACATGTACCTGCTTTTAAGGACACATTGTTTTTTTTGTCTCTGTCTTGTCGGGTTGTACCTAGGATTCGGCATTAGTGTTGTTTCATGGAGTAAAATTGTTTAATTTCCCTTTGGATAGTATAACCGGTAATGGTGCGGCTTAACTGATGTGTTTACTGGTTTTGGTGTCTGTAGAGATTGTGTCTGTAGCTTAAGAAATCTGGTACTAGAATACGTTGAGGACTTCCAGTCGCCGTTCAAGTCTTTTACCGTGAAATGTGATAGATGATGTAATTGGCGTTCCTTGGTCCATGTCTTGAGTCTTTTGGACTAAAAATTAGCTCAAATAGAAAATATATTCTTGAGAACTCGTCCATTAGTTTCTACTTAATTTAAACAATATTTTATTATGATAAAACATAATTGGATTGGACAGCAGGCACTGCCTATATAAGTCCTTTCCACAATACAAGGTCAAAATCATACATGTACAAGTAAACATTATTAATATAACATTGAAAAATATAAATATATACATGCATATATTCAGTAGAAATGTATATGACAAGGCAAATTAAGAAGAACAAAAAAAGAGAAATATATGAGCTGATAATATAATTTAAATTTTTATTTTAACATATATGACTGGCAATTATATTAATAATTGTATAAATTTAAAAAAATGAATAAGAAAACATAAATAGGTTTTGGTTCTGTGATTTGACAATTGAAAAACAAAAGCAGATAGAATATCAATTCATGCAAATCGCTTTGTAGTTGCAATAAATTCTTGAACAAGTTTAAATATTGCAATATTTTGGTTGTATGTAAGATTATTGTCTCCATTTAGAATAAGTTGTAATAGTTTCTACTTAACTCCATGTATTACTCCAACCTCGTCTAAATGTCGCCGTCAAACTGAAAGGTGCTTATATTGAATTATTTATACAGGGAAATGACAACAAAATGTTTGTTTTAACCTTTATTTTGGCGAACATTGGCCGTGGCATAGTAATTTGTGGGATGCCAATTAATACACACAACTTTTGGGCAAACCCACACAAATTCAACAAAATTCATCAACACAAACAAGTCATATGTGCAAAAATGACCACCCCGGGTAAACCGCGGGTGGTTACTTATTTAACTTATTTAAGTGTAATTAGTTATATGCACAATTCAAGCACAAAACAAATTATATCAACATATCAGCAAATATTTTACATATAAAATGGTTCAACATTTCAACCCCCTTCACAGTTCAATGGTGAAAACTTCACAACAATACAAAGTTTATGTAGGCCTCAGTTGCTTTGGTGTGCGCAAACGCCACATGACAGCGAACAACCGAAGGAGAGTTTGCAGTCATCCCACACATGGGGGAGCACCCAAGCAACTGACAAAAAAGCCCCCACGGCCCAATGTTCTTTATGTTTTGTTTAAGGATACACATTGCCTTGCTTTGACAGGAAAAATTCTAACCCCCCTTGGATATTATTTAGAAAGAGTTTATTTCCTAGGTCATTGAGGTGTACTCCATCTGGCAACAGAAATTGTGACATGTTTTTCAATAAATCAGGGTACTTTATGTAACAACCCCCCAACTCTAACACTAATGAAGCAGCTACCCTATTGGCCTTAAGACGGGATCGCTCCATTGCTTTATTGTCCCCCGAGTACCTCCATTTATTTCGTGGCAGCATCTGTGACCAAACAAGTGTAGAATGTGGAAAGCGAGTCTTAATAATCTTTAGATGGGATTTAATTTTCTCAATGAGAGTATACAGATAAATTGATCCTAAATCGTTTGCCCCACAGTGAATAACCAAACAATCTGGGGATTCCTCATATTCTGTAAGAAAAAAGAGCTTTCTTTTAAATCCCAAAAAATTCAAACCTGAATATCCCTGCCACCAGATATTTATTTTTAATCTATCCAATCCAAGATTTGTTCCCCCCGGTCTGCATACTGATGCCATCACTGCATTCTTAATAATAGAGGAGCCCACACACCAGACTTTAACTTCAGGGACCTCTACAAATGTATGCAATAATTTGAATAATTCTTGTTATATTTACAAAATTACAACATTTACAAAATTACAACTTATTTGCCCCCAACATCTGCCCAATAGGACATCTTATGTATGATTTGTATGCCCTAGACTTCCAACGCCCTTCTTCCATTATGACATCTTGTGAACACCCCGCTTCAAATGCTGCAGTGGCTGCCCCAATACGAAATGATTGGGCCCTATAATGTCCGTGAACCCCCAAAACCTGAAGTGATTTTTTCAAAACCGAAGAGAACTGATATCTGGTAAGGGGATTTTTTCCACAGTGGATAAATAATGGCCCTTTAATTTTTGGTCTTACTGCAAGATAATCTATCAAACTTGCTACTGGACACAGGATTCCCTCACTTTCATCAATGGCTAAAGAAACCCCCTTTCTATCCTGATCACATTTTGACATTCTTATGTGTACAAAAACCTTAGAGTAATTAGCTTCAAATTGAACATCAGTCACTTGTAAAATTGTATGAACACTATTACCAGTAGACAATGTGAATTCCCCTATTCTGAGAAAACCAAAGAAGGCTAATATATAAGCAGCTCTGAACAATTTTGTTTCATAACTATTGCTACAAATGCTCAATAAAACCCTAACAACTTGAGTAAGCAACTGCAAGGTTATTGGTAGCCTTGCATCTGCAGACCTACCAGTTCTTCTCATACCCTCAAGAACCTTTACAACCAGAATGTTCTTTGTTTCATCAACCCAATTGTGAATTTTGCATTGAAAACTAATCGAAGATAGATAAGATTTTGCCGTAGCATGGGAACACTTCTTAAGTGACAGATAAGCAACAAAGTGAACATCTCTAAGAGGTGGGGGCCATGAAATTTCGTACCCAAATTCTTTCCGGAAATTATAAAATGAATTTTGTCCTGTTTCGTATGCTGTCTTAGTGTTTTCAGAGATTGAAGCATATAGCAATTTATTCATTTGAATCTGTAAATCATGTTGACTGGTCTGGTGCTTGCCTCTGGTGCTAACGTCTTGAAGCGGAACCACTGTTTGCGAGAAATAGAATCTGCAATTTTGTTATCCAAGCTACTAATGTGATTTGCCCTAAACATAACATTATTGATCATCAGTCTAAGAACCAAATGTCTTACCAATTCCATCACTCTTTTAGACTTGGAAGATTGGGTATTGATGACACTAACTAATGAAAGGTTATCAACATGAAACTGAACTTTTTTATGTAACAACCTAGGTCCCCATATCTCTATTACTAAAACTACTGGTACGAGCTCAAGAAAAGTCATGTCTCTCAAAATTTCTTGGTTGTTCCAATGTTTTGGCCATTGGAGAAAAAACCAACTTCCACTAAAGTAACCCCCACAACCTAAATGACCTGAACCTGCACTATCTGTAAATAACTGTAAAATGCTAGATTCTTCCCATACAGTATTAGGAAAATATGCAACCCCATTAAAATGGTTCAAGAACACCAGCCACATTCTAAGGTCACTTTTAATTCCTACTGATAATCTTATATGATGATGTGGCTTGAAAACTCCACTAAATGCATCATACATTCTTCGAATAAAAGCTCTACTAGATCTGATTGCCTTTGAGAAAAAATTGAGCATTCCAACTAAAGACGCATTTCTTGCAGTGTAACTTTTTCCCTATCTAAAAAATTTTCAATCAGGCTCTTCAGGATTTCTAACTTAGCTTCTGGGATCTTAATTGTCATCTCTAGTGTATCAATTTCGAAACCTAGAAATATTAATTTTGTCGTTGGACCAGACGTTTTCTCATGGGCTAGAGGTACCCCTAAATCCCCAGCTAAGTTACTAAAAGTAGACATTAGAATTTCACATTCATCACTACCAGACCTACCTGCAAAAAGGAAGTCGTCTAAATAATGATCTAATGTATTCAATCCAGACTTGAACTGAGCAAGCCAGTGTAGAAAAGTTGCAAATGTTTCCCAAATTCTGCAACTAATGGAACAACCCATGGGAAGGCATTTATCTATGTAATATAATCCATCTACAGAGAAACCTAACAAGTCAAAATCCCCTGGATTGATCGGAACTAAACGAAAAGCACTTTTAATATCCATCTTACCTATCAATGCGCCCCTTCCCAAATTTGCAATCATATTGACTACACCATCAAAAGAAGCATACTGCACTGTACATAAATCTGGGTCTATAATGTCGTTGATCCCCTGGGAACTAGGATAGGATAAATGTGTAATCATTCGCCACCCTCCATCAGATTTAGGGACAATGCCAACTGGTGAAATATGGAGGTTAGAAATTGGAAGTTGATCAAAAGGACCCATGATTCGGCCAAGCTTGATTTCCTTACTTATCTTTTCCATCAACTCCTCATGGTGTTCACTTGCAGATTTCAGATTTTTTGAAAACACATGACACCTTGGGCCTGTATAATTTATTTCAAAACCCTTTGAAAACGCATTTTTTATATAATTAGCAGCATATTTGTCTGGATATGACTGCAAATATTCATTTAACTTTTCAACATTAATAGGGGAATTTCCTAGGGCCCATATACCTTTGTGGTCTTGGGGTTTGGGTTGGGTGTGACATAAGGGGTCTAACTTGGGATTGCCCTTGCAGTGGTCCCCTTGAGTAACTTGTGGACTTGCCAACATAATTAGATTGAGGGCACAAATATTGTGGATGACTCCCAGAACATTTAATGCACTTGTGCATGTACTGGCAAGAAGGTCTGTCACAATGACCCTTGAAGTTGAAATTATAGCACTTGTTGTAGGCTGGGCTGTTTGGTTTAATTGTTAGTTTAGATTGTGGGGATGATGACATAAACATCAACCATAACTCATAGTCTACTTTAGACCAGTCTATGGTGGGATCGATACTGCGGCGAAGTCGAAATTGCTCGTCATATTTCTTCCATCCCAAATCCCCCTCCCCACATCTTGATGCCCCGAGTCTTATGTCATGTAAATATTTCAGCAAACCCTGATAAGATTCTGGGTGGGCTGAAGCATAAATGCTAGAGTAAACTAAGAATGCATCCGTCCATCTACTGATATTTTGAATCTTATTGCTAGGTTTAACAACCTCTCTTGTGACCAGCTCCCCTTTTTCATTAAAAAATATTTTTTTCTCTGAAGATTCTGTCAGGGAAGTGTTATCAAGCAACAAACTAATCTCTATGTATGCTGAACTAATGATTTTAGACTTCAATGAATTAGAGACATTGCTAGCCAATAGCGAATGAATGCTATCTACATATTGATTATCATAACCAATGCTTGTACCTGATTGAGATTCAATGGCCAAAGCAGGCACAGGCGCTGGGGCCAGTGGGGTAGAGTTTGACTTTCTGGCACCAACTACATTCTCTTGGGCGGCGATGCTTCCTGGAGGACCTGGTTCCTGAACTGTATGATTATCGTCAACCTCTATCGCTACCGCTGGTCGCTCTTGTCTTGACCTCTTTGACCTTGATGCTTTGCCCTCGTTGTCTCTCAGTCTGCAATTCCGCTTAGTCTTATTTTTGGGAGGCATTTCCGCTCGTTAGAGTAAATAACAAACGAAAATTACTAATTGTAATTCATCAGATACAAATTTTTTTGATAAATTTGCTACGGGATAAATTTCCAACAATATATTCAAAATGGCTGTCGTGTCACAATTAATCGGGTTGTAAATCCAGCACAATCCAGAGAAAATATATACGTTGGATTAAAAAAGTATTAAGAACATACAAACTTTATCATCCATTAACCAAAATTTAAATATATTTAAGGCAGATGCAAAAAATTTCTTACAAATATTATGAAAAAACTTGACAAAGAAATATTCAACCTACTCTGTATCCAGCAAGTTGATGAAAAGAACTTTGATCCCGAGCTTTCCGACTTATATATACCCAAGGCCGCAGGCCGATCCCGACCAAAAATTAATACCTTTTCCCGTAAAATAAAGTCATCTGATTTTATATGCATAAAATAGATGATAGTGTCGTAAAGTTACTTTACTAAGCTCTGCAGTTTAGGTAGGCATCTCGATTGTTCGGTCGACCACCTATGTCAAATTGATGAATGTAACGTAAAGTGGATTGCTCTGCTCTCTGCACTTTTGAAGTAAGGAGAGGACTACATCCTTCTAGATCGGAAGCCGAACTATGCTTTTTGATATCTCTCACCCAGAATTAGTTCACGTATCTGAAGAACAGTACATGTACGTGCAAACAAATTGCCTAAAATGTTCAGGAGTTATTGCGAACGCTGAAATCGATCCTCTTTGCTTGTGTTGAGGGTGATCCACTGACCTTGGGGTGCCCCTTCCCACATTTGTACTTTAGATTGTTCAGTGGTACTGAGAGACACGATATGACACTATTATATAAAGTCTTTGTTCAGATCATATCCTGATGAAGGTTACTTATAAAATATTACCTTGAAGACCTAATTTAAAATTGTATGATCGTCTAGCTTATCCAAGAAGACATTTAATAAATTCAAGATTAGCATCACTTCTATATTCTTTGAAGGGAAGTGTGCCACCAGTCTTACAAGTTGTATGACTTTTGTCCAATTAAACCTTGCCTAACTTAGACTTGAGACAGGCTTATTTATTTGTGGTGAGGTAAACTATACTTTCTTAATGCCATTGTACATAGTCTTGATCTTTTCTGTGTCTGAACGTCTTTCGTATGGAGCTACAGAGGCTTGTCTAATAGTCTTTTATCCATTCTCTCAATAGAGAACACCAAACACGCAACGAACGAACGTATCTCGACGATTTAAACCGTATTACTAGTTTATAAATACCATCACTCGCTTTATATTTATTTTGTAATTATTTCAAAGGCGGATCCAGCACCGGCGCGCCAGGCGTGCGCCCCCTTCCCCATTTCATTTTTTAATTTTGTTTGTATTATCTTCAAATCAACAGGAATACACCTCTAATTTGTTATAGAGTTCCTCACTTTTCGAGGGCTTCCCTCCTGGATCCCAACCAGGGCTTTGTCCTGGACCCACTGGGGGCGTTAATGTAGCCCTTAATACTTCCAAGTCTTCTACTGCGCCCCCCACGTTTTGAAATTCCTGGATCCGCCGCTGAATAAATATTTAGACAGTTTTAACTGCTAGTACATATCTCTTCACTTCCTATTTAGATATGAACGACCAATATCGGTTTGTTATATTTATGTCGGGTTCCTTATATCGACACCCTAGATGGAAACTTGCATCTATTGTTAAATTGTTCTCAGCCCTGCAAAGCGTCGTATTGATACTTGTTACAACCTGTAAGTATGGCACGCCAAATTCACACATGAGTTAAACATAGTTTCACACTTGATAAACTAGATTTATCTACTGTAAACTATAGTTTAAAAACCGTAAACTATAATTAACAATTGGTTAACTATAGTTTTCATCTGTAAAACTATAGTTAACAGTTGTTTACTATAGTTTACGAATGCTAATCTAAGTTTATCCTTCTGTAAGAAAACGTTTACAATAATTTTTGTTGATAAACATAGATTCACGTCTTTAAACTATAATTTACAATCGTGAACTTTAGTTAAGAGTACTGTTGTTAATCAAAGTTTCACAAATTGTGAAACTATATTTATCAGATCGTGAACTATAGTTAAGAGCTGTAAACCATAGTTTACAAATCGTGAAACTAATTTATCAGATACAGTTATCTATGTTTTGCAACCGCAAATGATTGTTTTCAGTGTTAAATTTAGTTTACGGTTCTGAAACATAGATTATCGCATTGATGTAAAATACAGATTAACATTTAAACTTGTATACTATAGTTTACAGTCTGTAAACTATAGTTTACAACCGATAAACCTAATTTATCGACTGTGGAACTATGTTTGGCTAATTTTTGTTAATTTGGCGTGCCATATATAAGGCATTATCGTAATGAACAAAGGTCATCCTTTAACATGGACGGATCCAGCAATTTTTGAAAAGGGGGGGGGGGGGGTCCAGGTCGGTGTACCCAGCACTCATGCATAGAATCACACCATGGCCACTTCAAGTCCGTAGCTTCATTTATAAGAAAGGGGAGGCTCCAAAAACATTTGACAATGCAAGCAAAAAAATATAAAAAAAAAAAAACAAACATAAACAAAACAAAAAAAAACCTATACAACACTTTTTAATACAACACTTTTTAAAATTGGGAGGGGGTAGAGGGGGGGGGGCTTCTTGTCACTTTTCTGTTCGGTACATTACTTTCAATCTTGAATCTGCGTATTTTCCAGCAACAAAAGATGTGGAGGGAGTTTCCAAAACAAGATATTTTTAAAACTGCAGCAAAAGATTATTCTCGGAAAAAGTTAGCCCCCTCCTTCTGCATACTACAGGAACATTTTTTCTATATTGATTAAAAATATTAAATATGCATACTTCTAAAAGTTAGTTACTTCTGAAGATGGTCCAAACATGGTATAGCTAGAGTTCGATGGAATCTTCCTTGCATGTTACTTGTGGATGTTTTGAGCCCTGAGACGAGGTTGTGAAGGTACACAGAAGAAAACAAATATGCGAAAATCTACAGATCTAGCGAGCAGAAGAGACAGCAATTTTATTTTAATTTTTCAAATGATTAGACGTATAAATATCTATTACAGAAAAGCTATAATTTCTCTCTTTCTCCCTCTGTACAAAAATAAGTGGGGGTTCAAACCCCCGGAACCCCCCTCTGGTATGCCAATGCTTTAATATAATATGGATTACTTTTCATTTATTATAAGTAAATAATTAAAAGGAATCAATAAAAACACACCTGAACATATGCATATATTTATATCATACTGGTACATGGAACACCAAAGCTATTATACTTATCAAATTGACAAATAATTTTAATTCTTCTATACGTGTGATTCGTCCGTACGTTTCGTCAGTTACACAGGTAATCACAATGTAAACAAGTTTACCGTTTGTTAGACCGATATTCGTTCGTTACGTGTTTGGTGTTCTCTAATGCACGAAGGCTGTTCAATAAATAATGTCCTGAGCTCTATGACACAAAATAGAAATCATATGACATTAAACTTGACTTTCTCTCATGATTGAATCTTTAATTTGAGGAATTATTACAGTTTATGTGACCACTTTTCATCACATAGTTTCATTGTAAGATGCTGGAAAACAAGAGCTATTCGAGACACAGCATTAAAAGTGAATAGTATAGAATCGGTAAACTAGAGTGAAATGAAACGCTTCATTAAAGCTGCTGTTAAACTCGTTAAGAATCCTAGAGAAATTTTAACTGAAATATATGTGAAATTTACAGCAACCTATGCCTGTTTAATGGACACGTAAGCAGGTGAATTTCAATAATGGGCATCAAAAATGTGTACCGTCCTTGGCGACAAGGACCTGCAACAACCAACGGACTGTTTGCCAAATTTCAACAAATTATCACTGGTGATGTTTGATTGACTTTTAGACACCTAACAAAATTGATAAGCATCATTTTGGGGTGGTTTACACTGTTTAAAAGAAGCATTTAACAGTAATAAAGCTTAGTACTCAATGGTCACCCTATGTTTTAAAAAATTAGTGAAAAACGTCAGCGTGTTAGAATATCTAAACAATTATTTCAAAAAATCAAAAGTTTTAGTCTTCCACGTTTGTCTGAAATTCAGACAGATAATCAAGCATGAATCCATTACTTTAAACCTTAAAAACAAATTTACATTAAGATGCACTTGACAAAAACAGCCAAGGTCTGAGAAGAGCAAAGAATTGCAAAAGCATAAAAACAGCTTTATATGTAATTTTCTTACATATTATTGGTCTTGTCGTTCAAATTCTTATTCGTGGAGAATTCTTAAATTTTTATTCAATTTCTGGAGAAATCTAGAAAGCAAAATTTTGCAAAAAATCAAAAGATTTATGAAAGAATGGAACCAGAATCAGGAATCAACTGCATTAAATTTCTTCATGACAGCGTCCAAACCCACACGCCATGAAAAGTATAGGAGTTTTGGGGATAAACAGATAGATAATGTTTTGTCACACCAACAATATACGCCAGATCTTTCACCCTTTGACTTGTTTCATTTTCTAAACTTGAAAAAAAAACACCTTTCAGAAAGAAGAAACAAGTCTAGGAAATCATAGAATCTGCCATATTCCAATATACGAAGGGCCATACTCAAAAATGTGTTCTAAAAACTATTAGAAATTGAATAAAAATGTTACGGACACATGTTTTAATTAAAAGAGAATGTTTATGCGAAATCATCAAGACTAAATAATTGCGTTTTTTGTTTCTTTCCGAGCACCGAGGACATATTTAGCCCTCGTAGTTTTAACTTGTGATTGCAGCGCAGACAGATTTGTCGGTTGGCTTGAGCTTTGTAGGCCCACAAAGCAAACCGTTTAAAATTAATGAGGGAATCATAATCTCTCTGAGTTTTATGGCATCGAGCTCTGAAGCTCAAACGCCATGCAGCTACCAATCGGAGTAGCTCTCAAACTACGCGACCGAATGTATCAGTCAGTGTTTCCGCGAAAGAAAATAGCAAAAGTCCCTCTAGTGATA